TCCAGATGACATGGTGCTAAAATATGTTTTAATAAAGTGCAGACAGTGATAAATGTAGGATATTACACAGAAGAAAGAGTCAAAATGCATAAGATGGATCTGTGCATTATTATACAGGTTGCAATAGACGGAAGATATCAAGAGAGGAATTATATCAAGACAGTCCACCCTGCAATCTCGTCTACAAGGAGGTCATTTGACATGTTGTGTTCAGTTTTAGGAGCTACAATTCAAGTCACCAAACTGGAAAGGATTTAGAACAGAACAATGAAGGTAATGGTGAGAAGACCTAGAGGACACATCATATAGAGAAAAGTATGCTGAGCCTAGAGAGAATAGAAAATTAAGCAGAGATGGTTGGCAGCTTTTGAATTATGAAAAGAATGTGGCAGCCAAAGAAGGAGATAGAGGAGGTTCACCAGGAGAAGCAATGAGTTTTAATTAACTACAAGAAAGTAGATTCAGGGCATGTCTGCACTGCAACTAAAAGAAAAAAAACTTCCTGCTCCCACTTGATACATTTTTGGTCATCACTGTAGAGATGCATGGCAAATTCAACTATTCTTTCTTTTTGGGGAGAAGCACACTATTCTGATCTACCATTCGCCGCTTTCTTTTTTACTTCCTTCACTGTGTTTTTGTATTTGTGTAGCCAGACGTGGGCCAAACACAGCAAATGGTCTGGGAACATCAGAAGCTGTCGTGGTACAGAAGCTAAACAGGTGTGGCCTGAATTGTAATCTGAATGTGAGCCTTTGGGGAGTTCAGTGTATGAGCAGAATATATGTATAATAAATTCAGGTGGTGGTGGTGGTGTTTAAAAAAATAGCCAGATGCATGACCCTTGAATGCCCTAGTATCACCAACTGTGGTGGTGATCATGGCGCATAAATAATGTTTATTAAATGCGTAATAAATAAGCATGTGCACCTTGTAGGGCATCTGTTAACAAGGAAAGATGGAAGACTTATCTTGCCTCTCTGCAGAGCACAGCATTTGCATCCCTATGAGCGCACTTGTGTGAGCAATGCTTATACATACATATGCATGCACGCTTACGCAACTCTCCAAATTCAGTCAGTGGAAGACCTTTGAAGAATCTGATTGAAGAAGTTGAAAACACATTGGATCACCATTTCCTGTTATTTATTATTAACTAGTTATTAACTAGCAATGCTCCTGTCATGGTCTCCCTCCAGGGAAATGGGTGTGGGAATTTGTCCCTGCTCATCCCCATCTGCACACTGGGGAGAAGGCTCCCCCACAATTTACACCCTGAAATAGCCCTTCATCCAAGTTATTTGCTACCACCACAGCATTTATTTACTTATTTACTGCTATTTTTATTGCTCTTACTGTAAATTTTGTATGTTGTATGCCACTTTGCTGTATTTAAAAAAAAATTACAAAAGTGTCTTCCATAAACATTTAAATGAAATAGAATAGCAAATAAAATAATGTGAATAAGGGGTTGGCTTGACTTTACTGGGTCCTGCCATTGCTCCCTCTCCTCTATTTGCTTTGATAGTGACATAGGAGTTGCTGGTGCTGGGATAGTCCAATCAAAAGGCAGAAAATAGTAGCCTGGGGAAAAAGGCAAAAAGACAGAGTTGGGCCTTTTTCCAGCCTACAGTTAGGACTGCATTCCCCAGTCTGGTGCCTTGCATGTGATTTAAACTGCAACAGTTCCCAACATCGCTGAGCATTGTCCATGCTATTTGGGGTTGATGGGAGTTGCAGCCGAAACCACCTGGAGGGCATCACATTAGGGAAGGCAGAGTTAGGGAGCGCCATTAAAAACCAGAGAGAGTCAACAAAAAGGAGGATGTTAGAGCTTACAGCCCATTTGGGAGACCTCAAAAGGGACAGCTGGCTGACCAAGACATATGAACAATGTGCTTCTCTCCCATGAGCCTGTGGGAAGTGGTAATATGGCCCACTACAAACTAGGTCAAAAATCCTGATGGCTTGAAAAGATGCTGGGATTCAGAGATGAAGTTCAGCTTTCTTGTAGAACACATGCTTTTTCTGCATTTTTCTTAGCTGGTGGCTCTGTTCAGTGTCTATGGAGTCAGGGAGGTGAGCCCAGATCACTCATGGAGAAACCAGGTGTAATTTCTCAGGGTGCTCCCAAAAGATGTCATGTAAATATAGATGCACAGCTTGGTTTATTGAGTGCCAGGGACAGTTGAGTGAACACTCAAGTCACAGGAAGAGCATCTTGGTAAAACTGCAACAACCGCCAAAGGAAGCCCATACTTGCAACCCAACATCATGCCCTTGGTTACCCACTACATAGAATCTACCACAAGGGCAGTAGTAATGCATCTGTCATGTCCCCGGCCTCAACAGTTGTGGTGAGAGGGGATACACCAAGAAGTTGAAGCAATGTTGCACTTTGAGATAATTGAAGAATCCCAGAGTCCTTGGCAATGTCACCCCTTGTTAGTACCTAAGCTGAATGAGAATGTTCATTTTTGTATTGATTTTAGGAAAAATTAATCCTGTTTCTACATTCGACACGTATTCCGTGCCACAGGTTAATGTGGTTTTGGAGAGGTTGGGCAACCCAGATATTTATCTACCCTTGATCTTACTAAGGTTTATTGGCAGTTTCCGCTCACCAAGTCCTTTGAAGACAAGGAAACCTCCTTGCAGCCAGTATATGAATGACATTTGGTGTTCACAGAGCTACTTTTCAGCATCTTATGCCCAAGGCTCTGAGAAGAGTAAAAAGGAGTACAACAGAATTTCTGAGTTATGGTGGTCCATTTATTCCCGGGTTTATCTCTGTGTCCACATTGCTTACAACCTTATCCAAAGGGGGGGACGACCCACCATCCCACATAATTTGAATAGCAACTTGTGAACAGCTGGGAGTACTTCTTTACTCTGCATGTATTTGTATGTTGAACTAATGTTCCACATCCCTGGTCTTGCCTGTTGCTTTAGCCTTCAGACAGATTGATGCCTTTAGTGGCACTGGTGACGACGACACTGTTCTCTCTCAGGCTTTTATACATGAGCAGAAAGTTCTTGTGGCAGAAGATGAGTGTTGTAGAAAAGGAGGTCCTCATAATAACCAGGGCTGTGAAGACATTAGGATACTATATCTGGAGCCTGTGGTAGCTCATACTCCATTATGGAGTTTGCTGTACAATCTCCCTCTGCCCGTGAAAATAACAAGGGTTAAGAGGGCTAGATACTACTGGGTCAACTGGTGGTTGACAGCTTCATCTATAGTTCAGGGGTAGCCAACATGGTGCCCTCCAGATGTTCAGCCCCAGGCAGCATGGCCAGTGGTCAGGGGTGATGTGCTCTGTTGTCCAACAACACTCGGACACCACACCAGCTACCCCAGTAGATATGAAAGCATCAACCACCCATTAACCCAGTGGTATCTAGCTCTCCTGCCCACAGAATGATAATGCTTATCCCCCCCTGCTCACAACAAGAGGATGGTAATCATGTGGAATCTGTGGCCAAAAGTGGTGTCCGGTTATCTATTCAGGAAATTCCTGTCAGACTTGCACTGTGCCCAGTGGTGCCCAGAAGTGATGTAATTGACGAGTGTTTGCGAGCCATGCGTCAATTCAGAAATGGAATTATTATTATTTATTACTTGTACCAGGGCATCTGACTGGGTTGCCCTATCCACTCTGGGCAGCTTCCAACAGAAATCAGGAGACCCCAGAATGAAAACCAGGAATGAAGGAGGCCCAGTTCTGGCTTGCATTACGAGCCACAGAGAGCGGGCAGAGGAAACGAATGAGAGAGCTGCACTGGGACAGTGCTTATGGCCGTAAGGGTAGGAGGTCTCAGTGGGTAGAGGCAGCTAGTCAGGAGACCTGAAATGATGAGGTTGCTCCCATGAACCAACAACTATGTGGTGGGGCAAGGTCTAGCTCCTGGTTTTAAATGCTTGTGTTGGTTACCTCCTAGGGTGGTAACCTATTGGATCTCTTTGAGTTGGGAGCAGGGCTGGATTAAGACTTTTAGAGGCCCTAAACACTGTGAAAATTATGGTTCCCCCTATGAAATTCAAAATAAAAACAATGCTAAATTATATATCTCCAGTGGGTTTTTTCGGGGCGGGGGGGGGGCACAGAGGTATGCATACCCCTAAACATTTTGTTAATCTTTGTACTTTTGTCCATTTACTGTATTTATTTTCCCGATCTGAACAATAAAATGGTGGTTTTTCTTGAGTCAAAATGAGAGTACCCCTAAAGATTTTTTTTAAGGAAAAAAGCACTGTATATATCTCAAAATGACACAAAACTTTCTTGTATGCTGAAATTAAAACAGCTCCTTTCTCGATTTTCTGATTCTGCACAAGTCCATCAAAGCTGGGTCAATGAGGTCTTCTTTCGATTTGCCTTGGAAAGGAGGCACAGCCCCTGCTTTAGGTGGGGATTAAGTAATAAAAAGAGAACAGGAAAATGAGGAAAGAATGTGGAGAGGAGTGTAAGGAAACCTAATACAATTCTGAGTTTCCCGGTGATAACTACTTTTTAAATATAGATATCAAATTCTTAAGAAATACATTTGGGAAACCTCTCCTTTTCCGGCGCCTCTGCTTTGCTGGTGCCCTAAGCACATGCGGAATCCTCCGCGTTCCCTCCCCGCTGAAGCTGCAGACTGCGCGGTCGCCAGGCGGATCCCAAGGCGCGGATCGGGCCTCCGACTCGCCCTCCTTCCCATTGCCCGGAATCCCCGAGAGGTCACGGGACTTTTGGACTTTCGCCAGGGGAGAAGACTTCCCGAGGTGGGTTTCCATAGGGTTCCAGAGAAGCGGGAGAGGCCGAGTGGGCGGCACAGCAGCAGGAAAGCCCCAACTTTAGCAGCCCAGGAAGCGTCCGCGGCGCCCAACTTCGCCGCATCCTGCGGGTGGCCGGTTGCGCGGCCGCCGCCTGCCTTGTTTTCGACGCGCTTTAGACGTCGCCATTTCTTCTCCTCTGGCGCCCTCTCTTGGCCCGTAACAAATACGGAGCCGAGGAAACGCAGTGGAGGGATGAGGGCAGAAGCGGAGTCTCCCCACCCCCCTCATATTTATTTCATAAGATTTATACACCGCTTAGTTGAGGGGGGGGTTAACCGCTTTACAAAAAGTTAAAACAAGAAAATTAAGGGGGGCCAAATACAACCATACTTTGAAACACACAAATTAAAATACTGAAACGGATTAAAATAAGCATCTGGGTGCGCTTGTCTAAACCAGAATGTTTCTAGCAGGTGCCAAAAGAGTGCAGTGAAGGTGCCTGCAGCAGAGCAGGTCTGTTTCTTTCCCATCCCTATATATGGATGGATGATACACGGATGGAAGTAGGGGGAACCAACCAAGGGCCAATGCGGAATCCCATTTTCCCCTCAATACAGTCGTGGTGGGTTATCTGAAACGGTGCATTTTTAACAGGAACCTGTGGCCCTCCAGATGTTCTCAGACTCGTTCCCAGCAGCGCCAGCCAGTACAGCCGATGGGCAGGGATGATGCAAGTTGTAGTCCAGCAACAGGGCCACAGGTTTCCTATTCTTGTTTCGCACTCGGGAGGCAGAAAAATAATTGCCTCTGTTGGAGAGCCCTTCAGGTTGGAGGTCTGGGCCCTCTTGACTTAGCTGCCTCCATTAAATGAGCCATGGCAACAACATAAATTGGGGGGGGGCTCTATCTCCCCCTATTCTTTTCACTGAAAATTAAATCCATGCTACTTCCAGATCCTGAAATATGAAACTAGGAAGAAACAATTGTTATTTATGAGTATCTGCTCTTCTCCCAAGAGACTTCAGAACTTTTGTTTAAAAGCTGCTTTAAACAAAAAAATAATAATGCACATGACTGGTAGTATGTACTTAACATGCATCCCCTTGACCCTGGGTGGATCAAGAAGCCTTTCCCCCATCTCTTCTCATCCCCTCCCCCCACCTCTGTATTTAAAACTTTGTTGAGTGTCTCCATTTCTGGGGCTTGAAGAATCTTGGGATACAAGCCAAGAAACGTAGAGTTGAAGAAGTTCAAGCTGAGCCAGGAAAATGTGAGGTTCCTGCAAGGTTCAGTCTCTGAAAGTTAAAAAAAGTTGTAAAAGCACGTAACCGAGGCTGTGCTTTTTGCAAACGCTATGCTTTATTCCCAGCTCTATTTCCAGTACTCCACTGATGCAAAGCGAGGCTATCTATAGGTAAATAGGTCATCTTTGCTGCTGCTGTTCTGAAGTGCCATCTCTTTGTCACCTGTTCTCGGCCAAGCTTACCTGCTGCTATGGTGTTGCAAGCTGCCCAAGTTCTTTTCCATGCGGATCAAGTGAATGACAAACGCAACGAGAAGGTAGTCAGATGGTCCCAGGTCTCTCCAAGTGGTCCATTATATCCCAATTTTCACAGGAAACTTGCTGTAACAGTTGCTCTCCAACTTGTTCTACACTGTTAACGTGTTCAAATCTTACTTAAGGTTCATCCACAACTGCTGGGATAGCCAACATGGTGCCCTCCGGATGTTTTCGGGACTACTGATGGACTTGTACTCTGTCAACATGAGGAAGTCACCACATTGGCTAGCCCTGCACTGGTGCCTGTGGGAAATCTTCATGTGTTTTTTCATTGGCATGAGAATGTAGGAGGTCCTTCATTCCTTCTGTTTACTAAAATATCTTGCATTACAGGCTTATCTTTGGGCAGTTGTGACTTGAAAACATTCACCCTACATTATGCACTTATAATAATGCATATTAAAAACAGATGGCCTTAGTCACTGATCACCAGCTTAAAATTTATCACTTGTGCAGAATCCACCATCTATAAAGGCTGCTTCACACATGCTGTGTTTTCTCCATGGAAATAACCTCTGTGTCAGAAAAATAGGTCCCGATGTCCTGTCAACACCAGCATTCTGGCTTTTTGTACCTGTGAAAAATAAGTATTTGTGTCACCCTTCACAACTGACAATGCAAATAGGTTTTTTGTTTAATAAAAGGATAACTTCATATGAAGCAGCCCATCAAGAACAAAGGGATATGTGCTTTGTCCAGCCAGCAGAGGGCAGCTTTTCTATACTTCTGCATTGAGCAAAAAAGCCCTCATAATTTCTTTCCAATGAATATCCGGAAACCAACTGACACACACACACACGGTCAGTCAGTGGCTGCAAGTGAGATGGTGCTAGGGTTTAACACACATAAATCAAAAGTGTGAAACTGTAAAGCAATGCACAGATATTGACAATGTTGCTAGTGCTTCTCCATGGTGATATGGTACACATACAAGAGATTGTATGTGCAGCTTATTGAAGTTCCTAGCGCGAGCTTACAACAACATCACTTGCATTTATCCTAACCTGGGAAAAGCCGGAAATTTTACATGTCCTGAGCCCACACTCAAGTCTTGTAGTTTACACTGTGCTGTTGGAATCTCTTTCTCTCTTGGGATTCTGTAATGTACCTATAACACTGAGCAGGGTTGGCCTTGAGATGTTGTTGGACTTCAGCTCCCATTATCCTTGACCATTTAGCCATGCTGGCTGGGGCTGATGGGAGTTGGAGTTGAACAACATCTGGAGAGCCAAAGGCTCCCCACAATATACCATATTTTTCGCTCTATAAGACGCACCAGACCACAAGACGCACCTAGTTTTTGGAGGAGGAAAACAAGAAAAAAATATTCTGAATCTCAGAAGCCAGAACAGCAAGAGGGATCACTGCACAGTGAAAGCAGCGATCCCTCTTGCTGTTCTGGCTTCTGGGATAGCTGCGCAGCCTGCATTCGCTCCATAAGATGCACACACATTTCCCCTTACTTTTTAGGAGGGAAAAAGTGAGTCTTATAGAGCAAAAAATACGGTACATATAGAGTATTAACTCTGAAAGACAGTGTCCACAATCCAACATAGAATTAAGATCACAAATCATTTGTTTTGGGTGTTGGGCTGTGGTTGTTTGGATGATAGAACCAGACAGCATCTGCTTTGCATCTCCCTGATATTTCACGTTAAAAAGATTTCAGGGTGCAAGGCCAGGGTAGGCCTGCGCCCAAGCCCTAAGTGGGTTGCTGCCAGTCAGAGTAAAGAATACTAGAGCAGACAGCCTAACACTATTACTTGGTCTAAGGCGGTACTTCTTATTTTATCACCTATAGTAGAATTGGAAATTTCTACTGCACCCTCCCTTTTAAAAAGAAATATGGAGACAAGCTAAGGAATGAAAAGTCAGAAATCTCCTCACCCTTATCATAAATCGAGAGCTAGAAAACAAAATATAAGTGAACTCTGAATTTCCTTTGCAAGAGTGCTTTTATGTAAAGGAAATCTAATTAAGGCTGAAAAGGATTACTAAATGTTCCTGACTCTTTTCTTCCTGGAGTCTAAACTGTGAAAATCTCTGTGCAGAAGTGCCCGGGGGGGACGGCTGGGGCACCACTCTGTACTCAAAGGCAGCCCAAGAAGTGAAGTGAACTTCACATAGCCTAAGCCTCACTCCGCCTCCTAATTTCGGAGATGACAGATGTTGCCTCAAGGCATGTTATTTTAAACACTTCTGTGGCTTCTATATCTTCACAAGTTTGATAGATGAAATCAGATGTTGCAAACTAGCTAAAAATAAATCAGTTACTGAAGAAGCCCTAGGCCTGTCATATGTGTGGGTCTAGTTTCAGTATTCAGTGTATCCCATTTCTTAAGATTCCCTTGGTACACTTCTCAGATCCACACATTATCCTCACCACGAAAGGAAATGTCCGTTCCAGGGCTGGATTAACCATTAGGCTAAATAAGCTGCACATCAGGTCCCCAATGTTTTCCGTGCAATTAACTAAGTGCACTTCTATCTAAACAGTGTAAAGTGATACAGTTCTCAATGCCAAGTTCCTTTAAAATCCTCCGTACTCAGAGCATAGTGGCTACTCTCTTCTCATAGAGAAAAGCATAGAGTATTTTTCCATGCTTTGTATGAATTTTTAAAAGCTGACAGTCCTGCACAGCATAAACAGCAGACCATATATGATGAAGGGTGGTATACAAATTGCAATCATCATCACCATCTGCCCTGGAAGACCTGATGCAGAGGGCTTTCTGAATCCTAACCCCCTTACGGTCCCCCACCCCAGGAAAAAAATGACAGAGGGGGAAAAAGCATTGAGAAACCACTCATCTCCCTCACAGGTCTTCTGGTGCAGATTGCAGGCGTCACAGCTGCATTTTGTAAACATAAAACCACCACCTGCTCAGAGAAAAATGGCAGGCAACGTAGCATTGTGGGTCAGTTGACCGCAACATACCCTGGTATTCCCTGCAAGCAAACCTAAGAAGAACCATCAATCTTAGGATTTATGATTGTGATGCATGCTGAAAAGTATGTGTCACCACCACCTGGTCCAAACGTCAGAGAAGCAATCCCTTAAAGTCAAATAACCTTTTCTGGGGAGAAGCACAGTGTAAATTGTAAGTTTCCCAAGAACATTCATACACCTTTCCTCTCACACACATCCATATGGACATGTATCATTATACATAAACCAGCATACGTAGGCTCCTGTGCATGCACACATCACAGATGCATGCACGCTTGAGGAGAAGCAGAGCCCTGGGCATCATCACCTCCATCTTCTATGAACACCAAGGGGAAAGAATCTACGAAGGGACAGGCACGACTGGGAACAGAACAGCCTCCCTTCTTTTACATGTGTTTCCCATTCCTTGTGAAACTTCCTCGGGTAGGCGCTGTGTCTGCTTCATAGGGCCGAGGGAGGCAAGGCTGGGGTTAGAGTAAAAGCAGATGAAGAAATCAGACAAATCTGTGTCTACAGAGGTGCAAGGCGGAAAGGAATGTGTGCCTATGTCTGTTGAAATAAATGGGCATAGCTACACTTATGAGAGGGGACGCGGGTGGCGCTGTGGGTAAAAGCCTCAGCTTGCCGATCGAAAGGTCAGCGGTTCGAATCCCCGCGGCGGGATGCGCTCCCGTTGCTCGGTCCCAGCGCCTGCCAACCTAGCAGTTCGAAAGCACCCCCGGGTGCAAGTAGATAAATAGGGACCGCTTACTGGCGGGAAGGTAAACAGCGTTTCCGTATGCTGCGCTGGCTCGCCAGATGCAGCTTGTCACGCTGGCCACGTGACCCGGATCTCGAGAGGCAGCGCTGAGCTCCGCCTAATAGTGAATCCACAGCAACTGAGTGTCTTGGCCCGTGGGTATGTACAACCTTACACACTATAAGGCATGCCTACTCAGAAGTACGCTGCACTGAGTTTTGGTTATAACCACACCATACGTTTACAGAACATTTATACCATCTTTGGTTCCCCATCCCCTCAAAAAAGTGCTTTACCCATCACAGAGGTGCAATTCCAAGCACTCTTAACAAAACAGCACTTCCCAGAATTCCTTGTGGTAAGTCATAACTGTTTGAAGTGGTATAAGAATGCTTTAAATGTATGGTGTGGCTGTGACGTCAGTGGGAATTGCTCTCAAGTTAGCACTTATAGGATTGAAGAGTTACCCTTCTGTTGGATTTAGGCCAAAGGGGAAGGGGAGTGATTGTGTGTGTGTCTAAGCTGATTCCATTTCCCTCTATGGGGAAAGGGATAGGTGACAAATTACCACGATGAGGGGTTAGTCTATGGCAATTTGTGAGCTATCCTTTACTAATGTTAATAGTAGTAGTAGTAGTAAGCTGTTCTGACTGGGTTGCCCCAGCCACTTCGGGCAACGTAATAAAACCTCAAACATTAAAGAACAATAATAACAAAATGAGAACAATAATAATAAATTCAGTTATGGTCGTCATCTAGTTACACTCCACACTTTCCTAAATGTCTGCACATTCAGAGACACCCATTTGGAGACACCCATTTAAAGATGCAAGAGACATTTGATTCAGTCCACATTTAAAGCCAAATTTATCAATTCCACACTTTTCCAGAACAATATGATAGCCATCCTTTAAAATGTGCACTTATCCAATTTTAGCAATGCAATTCTCCAACCAAACGTTGGATAATGCAATAAATGCATACAGTGGGAGACAATGTGTATAAAAATAAATATATTACTAAAACTATTGTACAAAAATGCATTGTATTAGGAGAAATTGCTTGCAAAAATATGTACATGAGTCAAAACTGCAGACAAAAATGTGCTTATTAGGATAAAGTTGCACTAAAATGCTGAAGAATCTTTATTAGGATTTTTTTAATGCAAATTGTTACAGAAATGTGGATAAGTGATTGTAAGGTTGGAAAAATGAGAACTGAGAGAACTGAAATGGACAATCCTTCCATTCCTACCCCAGTTAATGATACCATCTAACGAAATTCAAGGCTCCTGTGTTCTGGCACAGGATGTGCCTGGGGAGGCCAGAAGGTATTTTCAAGGATGGAAGACCTTGAGCAGCAGTAACAAGAGGTTCCCTTAGTAATTCAGCGCCAACCCCACCCCAACCCACAAAAGCATCTGTTGAAGGGTAACAGAGCAAAATGAGATGGGCAATAGACCTGGATAGGAACTTGCAATATTGCCATGGCAACAGGAACACCGTCTGTTGCTCCAGAAGTCTCAGATCCACACAAGAGGCTGAAGGCTCTCTACAGGCCTGAGTGGTGTGTCGTGATCTCTTTAGAGGGAAGGCCAAGACAGCTGAGTCCATTCAAGTCATAGCTGTGGGGCCAGGGGTGGAGATGAAGGTCTCTGGGTGTTGTCAGCCCCCTTCCCTCCACATCTGAGGCTGCTGGGCCCCTCTCTTGACACATGGTATTGGGGAAACATGGAATCTAAAATGGCAGGGGATCAGCTCATCTGCCCCTCTTGCTTCTCCTGATCTGTTCCCCAAACTTCTGTCTACACGTTTTCTTAGATGGTGAACGAGTGTCTCGCAACCCTGGCTGCATTCTTTGTGGATTGCCTACCCCATAAATGGCACTCCAGCAAGTAAATTACCATAAAATAGCATTTTACAAGCACTGTAAAAGGGGTTGATTACTTGCTCAATCAAGGAATTCATTGTCAATAAACATCCTCTTCAGGGCTTTCTATTGTGTGCCAGCGCAGTCTGTGAGCTGAAGCCAATCACGCGCATTCATTTTTCCAACAATTTTCTTAGAATAAATGTCATCTCACATCCAGGGGGATTTATTAGCCTCCTACCAAGGGAGGGGGAGGGGGGAAGATCCCTAAGAAATATTCCACTGACATCTTCTAGGTTTGTGGAGGGGAAGAGGGAGGGTGTGCATTTCATCCATGTGTCTGGGCCCCCACCCTGTGAGTGAGGGCTCTTGCCAGCAATACAGCTGAATGGCCGGATCCAGATTTGGCTGACTGGTTCAGCCTTGCCTGCAGCATCAGCATCTGAAAGGCAGAGGAAGGTCTATCTGGCACAACGCAAGCAAATGATAGCAATAAACAAGTAGAATAAAATAGCACACCTTCCATTACTTCCTGAGTCAACAACACTACGGGGCAGAGGCAGTTGCCAGGACACCATCTTTGGATGTCCCAGAAGCTCTTCCTTCCATAGCTGCCATATGATGCAAGCATGTGCAATGCTTTTTGGGAGCACAGCCCTGCTCTGGGGGCTTGGTGCCCAAAGCTAATGCTTTCTGTTGCTCTTGGAGTGCAAGCTTTTATCCAGATGTGCATGGAGGAGATATATAGCGGGAGGAGGGAGAGATCAGGGGGATTTTTGGAAGCCCCTTTTTGTGCTATTTGAATTTTAATACGCTTCTCCCCCCCAGGCTGTAGATGGCTGATTGACCCCAGGACCCAAAAGGAAAGAAAACGCTCAGAATTAATTAAAAAACCTGAATTGGAATTTACTAGGGCTGTAGCTCTGGCTTCTGTCTTGGATACTGATACCCGGCAGATGCTGGTAGGTGGAAAAGGATTGCTCAGTCGAATCTAGGGAAGCCACAAATTCTCCTACACCAAGAGATCACATTATGTCCCCTGCCTCCTTTTATGGTTATTGCAGAAAACTGGACCTGCTCAATATGTCAAGGATAGAACCACCATCCCCTGCCTTGGCTTGAATTAATCCCTGTATGGAACAGGGAAGTGCTTGTATAGATCAAGATTGACAAAGCAGCCCCTTTCCCTCGGTGAGTATGTGTGGGTGCATGTGTGAAAAGAAGGATGTACGCAATGCTTGCCCCCTCTTCCAGCATATTAAGGAACCCCATAAGCTATAGATCGGATTCAGTTCACCTCGGATTAGAATGCAGCTCATTCTGAAATGGAGGCGAGAACACCAGTTTGACATTAACAGGCTATACTAGGCAGACAACACAGCAAAATCTATTGTCACAAATGGAACCTGCAACACAGCGTTGCAATGTGGTGGACTCTCTCCTCACCATTTCAGCCACTCCATTCTGTTCCTCCTTCCTCAGTCCAGTTTTCTATCTTCGCCCGCCCCCCTCCAAACCGCCAGTCACTGAATTTGTCCTTTTGCGAAGCTTGGGGTTCCCCAACCCTGACAATAATAACATCTCCCTCTTGGGTGGGGTAGCGCCATTTTGGCATTTTAAGCAATGGCAGTCACATTTGTACATCAGAAAGAGAGGGAATGATGCTGGAGACTTAAAAGAGTAAAGGAGAAGGTAAAGTTACCTGAAATTTGGCAGAAATCATTATAACCAGTGTGTTAAGTCCTTAAGAACATAGGGCGAGCTATGCTGGATCAGACGAAAGACCCATCTTCTCTAGCATTCTGTTCCTACCGTGATTACCCAGATGTCCAAGAGAAGCCCACATGCAGGTTACGAGTGCAACAGCCCTCTCCTGCTCATGTGTCCCCAGTGAAATTCATTCTGTTAGTTTGGGCCCTGTTCTCCAACTTAAGGTCAAATTGAATCCTGATTCTGTCTTCAGCGGCGTTGGCTACTCCTCCCCGTTTGGTGTCATCCTCAAATTTGATGAGCATCCTCTCAATACCTTCATCCATAAAGATGTTGAAGAACAACGGGCCCAGGAGCAACATGACCTACCTCACAAGATAATAGCAAGCATAAATGGTGAGCTGGAAAGAATCCACTGCTATTCCTAGCACCGAGAGTCAGTGTATTGCAACCGATAGAGTGTTGGACTACCACCTGGGAGACAAGGGTTCAAATTTCCACTCAGCCATGCTGCTCACTGGGTGACCTCAGACCGGTCACTGTCTCTTGGCCTAACCCTACCTCAGCGGACTGTTGTGAGGCTAAAATGGGAAGGGGAGGACCATATACGCCACCTTGAGCTCCTTGGAGAGAAAGGTGGTGTATAAATGCAATAAATAAATAAAAACCTGCCAGCTTGGTACCTTTCAGATGCTTTGGATTACAACTCCCACCAGGCCCAGTCAGCACAGCTTTCCAAAACATTGGGGGGGGGGGGGAATACCAGCTTGACAAATGCTGTGGCAACAACAATGAAGTGCTTCTTCCACTTCTTCCAGCCCTGATCTTGGGCCATCTTGGGGAAAAGGTCCTTTATGCTCCTCTCCCTCCTTTCTGCTATATCCACATGGTAACCGGCCTTCCCCCCTCAACCCCCCCCCGCAACTTCCTCCATTTCGGCTCTCTTCATCCACACCCACTATTTAACTGTTTAGGTATATAAAAATAAGCGCACTTGCACACACACACACACACACCACTAGACAGTGGCTTTTTATGAAGAAGTGTAATTTGGAAACACTCGCCTTTGAGGTCAGAAAGTAATTGCAGCATTGGGCTTGTATGATCCAAGGCAGAAATTATCCCCAGGCAACCATTAAAACAAGGGAGGATAGCAGACGACATGGAAGGACAAGGGAAAATCAACCCAAGACAAGGGATATTGCCGGGCAGCTTATCGGATCCTTAAATCTCACTACCAGCACTGTGTGAGCCTCCTGCACAAGGCTCAGGGAACTAACTTAGCTAGCACTCAGGGAAACGTTTCTGTTGGCCTCCATTTATGCTGTGGTCTGACCTCACTTACCTTCATTCCTCCACTAGACATTTCCTGTTGCCTTTTTAAAAAATTCTTTAAGTTGTTTCAATCCGTTTCTGATACAGTTTGATGCTGCGTTTTAATATCCATGTTGTGTTTAAATTGTTGTAACCTTAGGGTGAAAGGCGGCTAATAAATTGTAATAATAATATTATACATGACACTGAGTTGCCATGACAATTAATCAGAATTTTCTAGGAGATGAAATAAAAGATACCAGTAATAGTACAGTAGTAATACAAATATTCTAGGTGAGTGTGTACACACACACCCTTTTCTCAAATGATTTCAAGGTGGGGTGCATAGTTTTTGTCCTCTCCACAGTGCATCCTCACAACAACCATGTGAGGTGGGCCAGGCTAAGAGATAGTTATGGGTCTAAGGTCACCTAGTGAGTTTCATGGTTGAGTTGGAGGATTTTGAAGCCTGGTCTCTGCCCCTGAGCTACAGCCCTGCTTTGTGTGTGTTTTCTATTTTATTGTATATACTGCCATGTTATATTGTATGAAGAAGAAGGAGAAGAAGAGTTTGGATTTGATATCCTGCTTTATCACTACCCGAAGGAGTCTCAAAGCTGCTAACATTCTCCTTTCCCCTCCCCCCCCACAACAAACACTCTGTGAGGTGAGTGTTATATAAATGTTTTTATAAACAAACAAATACTATGAAGTTAAAATACATCTCAAGCACTACTGAATTACGTATATTTCACAAAAGCCTTATGATTCTTTGCCCACCACTACTGTGAAAGCCTAACAGACCAAGAACCTAAAGAGAAGCAGTGTGGTGTAGTGGATAGAGCAGGCATAGTAGCCAACATGGATATTTGACCATAACTCTCATCCACTCCACAGTGGTCAGGGTTGATGTAAGCTGCAATCCAAGAGCATCTGGAGGGCACCACCTTGGCTATTCCTGGGTTAGAGTGTTGGACTAGGGGCCGGGGAGTTCTGGGTTCAAATCTCCACTCAGCCATGAAGCTGACCAGATGACCCTTTCTCAACCTAACCTACCTTATCATCGTTGTTGTGAGGATCAAGTGGGAGTGGAAGGGGAGAGCACCACGGCTGCTGTTTTGATCTTCTGAAAGTACCCTATAACTGGGAATGAGTAACCTTTCTGTTTCTGCTGGCTGGTGTGTCATCGTTGGTTTACTTACTGAATGCAGGATAGATGTGGATCACAGTGCAGGATTAGGCAGGATGGAGGTCTCCAAGAAACATCACTGAAATAAAAAAATGCAGAAGTCTTGATGCAACCATTTATTCTCTGTGCTTTGTTTCCAGATCCAAAGTAACAGGTTTTCCTTTGAAAAAAATTTTTCTTTTAAAAAAGCAGAAACGGTTGTGCATTTAGGGTGTGTGTGTGTGTATTCTTCCTTCTACCCATTCCATTTCCAGGCTTTCATTCATTTTGGTATTTCTCCTTATCTAAACACTATTTTGCACATGAAAGGAAATTATTTTCAGTCTCACGCCAGCATTTGTTACAAGCGCCTTTGCTCTGCGGCCTTCAATTTTGAATAATCTAGGAGGAGACAGGTTTTAATTTCCTCCCTTTGTGGCATCCCTGGGTCAACCCTTCCCAAAGCCAATGCCACTGGTTCATCAGGAGGGGCATTTTGCCTCCCACTAAAGTCATTCAGAACCCTAAACCACAAGTGAGCAATTTAGGTTACAGTCATTGCAGGTCAACTCTTTTGGCCTTTTGCAACCGCTTTTCATCTCCAGACCTTGGGATTTTCATATTTATTTTATTTCTTACCAGAAATATCAAAAACCCAAAACCACAATAACCGTTTGGGGAGCTCTTTGCAAAATAAAGATGCAAGTCTGATCAGGGATTACACTTGGCTAAGTACATCCGTTTGCCATATGAACCTAGGCAGAGCTCTTCTGGATCAAAACCAAGTCCCCCATAGTCCAGCATACTCCTTTCCATGGAGGGCCAAACAGGGAAGCTCATGAGCAAGACAGTTGTATACCTGTACAGTGCAAAGTGAACCATGCCTATTCAGAAATGTCCTATTGAATCCAATGGACTTATTCCCAAAAGTGCAGCTGCATTGATTCCATGCAGTACTTCACAGGCAGTGGTAGACTACTGGTGCTATAATTATTCAGTATAGTACTGGATTTTGTTCCAGCAGGCATTTTAATTGGCATTTGACTTTAAGAACATAAGAAGAGCCTGCTGGATCAGGCCAATTGCATCCTGTTCTCACAGTGGCCAACCTGTTGCCTTGTGGGAAGCAGAATTTGAGCGCAGAGCAGTCTCTCTTCCTGTGGTTTCCAGCAACTGGTTTTATAGTTTTGCCTCTCTTTTTTACTACTGTATCTCTGTAAATTGTTTAGAGACTATTGTAGTTAAGCAGTATATAAATTGCATTAATAAATAGTTAAAAATTTAAAATATAATAAAAATATAAAGGTAAAAGGTACCCCTGCCCGTACGGGCCAGTCTTGACAGACTCTAGGGTTGTGCGCTCATCTCACTCTAGAGGCCGGGAAGCCAGCGCTGCGTTGCCCACCGGTCCACCGCGTGCATGATTGCTGCCTCATCCCTGAAGAAAGTTCTTCAACCTGAAGCGGACCTATTTATCTATTGCACTTAACGGTGCTCTGTAACCTGCTAGTGGCAGAGAAGGAACAACTGAGGCTACCTGCAGGGGATCGAACCGCCGACCATCGGTTGGCAAGTCCTAAGCACTCAGGTTTTACCCACACGCCACGCCGCGGTACGCAATAAAATATAAACATACTAGTTAATAATAATATTATTCTGTGCAATCATGAACTTGCTGCACTGATATATATCCGGTTTAGCATTCCTTGCCTTTCTGGGCATTGCATTTCTGAGATAGCTAAGACATTCCTATCTCTGCACTGGACTAAGCTTAGGAGTAGAATATAAACATGTACATTTCTCTTTCTGCCAGTCCTCAGTCCTGATCAACACACTCTTTAACTGAGGTTCTGAAATTATAAGGTGGTCTTTCTAAAAAGCTAAGCTACATAGCTCTCATATCAGGACCACTGATCTGTGCAAACCAGGCATAGGGTCCACAAATCCATATGTATCGATCACTTAACACACTTGGGAAGGGGAACACAGAGGGGAACAGCGTGACAAGGTTCAAAGCTGCCACATCAACGGTACATGCCTGGAGGAGAAAAATTGCTCTGATGGATGGAATTTCCAACCAAGCGCTTCAGCTGGAACATCTCCTGGCTGTTAAAGTTTGTTTAAAGTAGGCAAGTCATAAGCTGCAGAGATTGCTAACATGCTCTCTCCCAGCAGCTATTCTCTGCTGCCATGAATCTTTGAAAAGGGCCTCCAGGGTACTGTCATGTTTCTGACCTCAAAAAAATAAAAAAAGGTCATAATGTTTTATTCCTTACGATATCTTTGCTTTGTGAAGACCTGGTATCAATAACTACTATTATTCACTTGGGAGAAATTGAGAACAGGGTAAACCTTTTCTTCCTTTCCTGTAGGTTTAATCCACTCTGTCCATCCCAGCACGCGGAAAATGTTCTGTCTGATCCTTTGCTGATCTGCACAGTGTTTCTGACCATGTGTGTGATTGACACACACTGACTTTGGCTGTGCCAATGTTTCACTTTGGCCACACCCTCCATAGGCACATGTCCTTCAGAAGTGCTGGCTTTAGGGCCACATCTGCAAGTATGAAGCTTCCTTACAGTGTCCCTCCCCCTCAAAATAATATAGGATATTTTACATGATCTGCTGTCAGCAAGTGTTCAAGGTTTGAGCTATCATGCGCTTAACCTTGCTTCGTTCTTTTAAGCCAGATGTCAAATGGCAAGGCGTTCCAAACTGTTGGTGCTGCCATGCTAAAAGACTGATTTCTTTTTAACGAAGGATGGGAAAGATTTGTGGATTATTTGAAAAATATTGTAAACAACTAAGTTCATTAGCAGGATTAATGTAAAACAAGCAGCTGAATATATTTATTAAGGAAAACACAGGGAACAATTAATAAATGGAATTAAGTGGCAGATGCAGTAATGAAAATTAAAACATAAGAAACCACAGAAGGAGGGGAAAGGAAGTCAAATTATGCATTTTTTATTGGAAAATGAAATTAATTTGTGCGATCGTAATTTTTTTTAAAAATAACCTGAAAAATAAAATATTTTTAAAAGGGCGGGGGGGGGGGGAGAGATTGATTTCTTACAAATGCAGAACAGATATTATTGCAGAACAGGTATTCTGTAGCACATGTAACAGTGCCAGTTCCACAGAGCTAAGCAGTCAATATGGGGCAATGCAATCTCACAGATAAACTAGTCCTAAATTGTTAAGGGCTTTATTTACTAATAGTAATACCTTGCCACGCCTGGTAGAAAACCGGAAACCAGTGTAGATTTCCAAGAACAGGTGTTATATGCTGACAATGCCTCACTCCTGCCAGCAACCATGCTGCAGAATTCTTCACTAATTGCAGCTTCTGGAACAAGCGTTGGGGAAGCCTCACATAGTGTACATTGCAGTAACCCAGTCTTGACGTAACCACAATGCTTAGCATGCATTCTTACATGGGAACCATGTAGAAACTTCCACTTGCGCGTAGCAACAACACAGGAAGCTAATTCAACATGATCAACTTGCTACCTCAAAACAGCATTTGCTACGGTTTTATGTAAGGCACCTAGCACCAACCTCACAGTGGCACTTTATAAATGCTCCTTACAAACAAACAAACAAAAGTCCGATCCGATATGAAACTACCTCAATTTGCTTTGATTTAGCAAACATAGCTTGAACTCCAGTGCGTAGCAATGGGTTTTGGTTGAGCCAAGCGAGTCCTGTGACCTGATTGGCTAGATGGATTTCTAGAGGGAGCAGATGCTTGCCAAAGCCGACCGAAAGGGACAATGATGAGGGCTTGCTGTAATAGTGACATTTCAAGTATGCCTGTAAAACCAGTTGCTATGGAGATGCCTATTAGAGCCTGAACTGAGCTGCACCTCCTCTCAAGTTGTGAATCAGGTTTCATGCTATTTTTTTTTTAAAAAAACCACACACACACACAGCCCTAACAAGCAATACGAAAGAGGAAAGGCCATGCTACAAATCCCATTGCACACTCCACTGCTGAGTGAGTCATATACACTTCAAGCTATTAACCAGCCCACCTGACGTCAAAACTCTGCATCAGAGGAAAGACCAAATGGAAATGTCAACATATCTGAATGGCAAGGCCAGGAGGTAAAAAACCCTTTTTCTCGGCTCCCTTCTGTGAAGTGAGAAAAGAAGATTAAAATTCAGCCAGTGCACTACACAGAAATGAAAATCTGATTAAACCGCCCTACCCCTGTTACCCCTAAGCAGAAGTTCTAAAGGCAGAAATTGAGCCCGTGTCATTCGGGCTCCCCAAATGTAAGGAGGAAGACACCAGTGTGTGTGGATTGGGGGTGGGGGTGGGGGAGAAGAACAAACAAAAAACCCATAAGCTAACGCTTCTGAAAAACACCAGAGGTGAATAAAAAATAAAGAAAGAAAGAACATCAGAGATGGAGAGTTCATTAGGCCCAATGCATTTGGAGTGAGCAACGCTCTTTGTGAGGAACAATTTGGAGGTTTCTTCGACTGCTTCAGATGTGGCAGGAGAAATCAAAATCCTGAGAATCATAGCCTGAAGCTTTCACAGAGCTAAACTAAACATGATAGTGGCAGATCCACAGGTTGGAAGCACAGTTGCATAGAACAGGGGTGGGTGGGGAACCAGGGGCCCTCAGGATGTTGTAGGCCTCACTTCTCATCAGCTCCAGTCAGCATGGCCAACAGACATGGATGGTGGGAGCTGGAGTACAGTATTTGGAGGACCACAGTTTCTTCACCCCTAGCATAGAAAGAGGGTCTGGGTGCACCCCTCCCTTTTAGCTCTGAGGTGGTGGTGCGTAATGTGTGTATAGGAGTCCTCTGCCCATATAGGAAGAGTAAGTGAGGATGAAAAAGGAAAAAGAGAGAGCATTCTTTATTATTGAAAGCACTGTAATTCTCCCAAAGCCCTCCCCTCCCCAGAACAACTTTAACAAAGTGATCCTATGAAATCTCTCTTTAACACTTCACCCCCTTATCACAGAGTAAGCACAAGCTTTGTTCTGATGAGTTGTGGCGGCTCTGGCATGCTGCCGCAGACATTACATTTGGGGGTTTCTGTTTGAAAGATGATTTTCTAATGAGGGTTTCCTCCACTTCGTCTCTGTTTTCCCCAAGTTAAAGTCTGTAATTACCTACCATGGGGTGAGGCTGCCAGGGACTAAAACAATGTTATTTGAACTGGGAGGAGGATGATGAAACATGACTGGTTTGCTGCTTTTTATTTATGCTGTGGAGGCGTTCAACCTCTTTTTACAAATTTACTCTCCAAAGAAGTGATAGAGCTATTTTTATCAGGCCATCTAAGGACAGCTATGAAAGAATACGGTCTGCTTAGAACAGCACACAACTTCTCTGTTCATGTGCAAAGTTTAGCCTGTGTAGATGCCATCATGTCCCTCCATAGAAAAGTTCTTTGTCAAGGACTGGAGTCCTCCATCACATCATTTCAACACCAGGAATCCTTGGGGAAGATCACTATGGATTTATTGGCTTAAAATGGTGCTTTGGGGGTTTTGTGGCAGGAATGGGCAGTCTGTGACCCTCCAGTTGTTGTCAGACTCCCCATCAGTGCCAGCTGTCATAAACAATGTTTAGAAGAATGAAGAGAATTGTAGGTCGGATAAACACCACACATTTAAAACACATTAGTTTCCCCAAATAATCTCATCACCCTTTCATTGGTGACATATGAAAGGTCTGCCATTCCTGTCTTCATCAGCACTTCCTTCAATGCAAAGGCCAGGTTGAAAATCCTACCTGTTCCCTCTGGGAGTGTAGAGATACTACGGTAATTCTCCATCACTATATGGTCTTTTTAAAAAGAGACACGATAGAACTGTGTAATATTTGGAAGAGGGAATCAGATGCTGAATAAGGGCAACTGAGATCATAGAAAGAATGGCTTGTATCCAACAAAGTGATCCCATACGCACAAGGACTTCCAGTAGTGCAATGGCGCTTCTCCATTCCTCTCCTCTCCCTGGATGCCTTGTGCTGCCCCCCATCTGCTCTGGGGGGTTAGGAGACCCTGAGAACAGATTTTGGGGAAAGAGAGGGAGGGCAAGTTCTGCTGCACAAGCAAAAGTCCTTGCATGAGCAAGGCAACTTTGCTGAATCATACAACTCATGCTAGAATCTAACAACAGGCTACATTAAGAAGCACCCAAAAATTCTATTTAAAAAGATACACAACTTTTGGTGACTTTGGGGGTGGGGCTATTAGTTCCAACATCTGGCATGCAGCTGGAAAGACTATCTTATGCATAGCCTGGCTACCTTCCTCATCCTAGAGTGTTGTTTTCGAGGGTGGGGCGGGCGGAGCTTTTTATTGTAGTTAGTAACATGCTGGTATGTTTCCTTGTAGCATCCTTTTGGAATTAAAACATCATGGCAATTAAAAAAAATCAAACTATATTAACATTTTTCAAAAAGCCAGACCATTAATTTAACTGGAAACCTGAAAATACCTTCTGTTGCTGAGTTCCAACTTGGACCCAATATGTACTAGAAATTATGCCTCTGGTTTGGTTCCAATTTACACAAGCTTTCTGGGTCTTTTCTCCATTTTTGTTACAGTTCAGTTCCCTGGCCCAAAGCAAGCATGGAAAATCCTGGGCTCAAAAGTATATTTTCTTCCTAAGGACCACAGAAAAGTTAAAAATTACTTTATGAAATGTTTTTTACTTCTTTTTAAAAAGGCACACACTAAATGCAAATACATATAGGCTGCACTCCTATACACACTTAGCAGAGAGTGAGTTCCATCGAATTCACTTGGGACTTACTTCTGGATAGACATGTATAGGATTAGTTTCTGAAGAGTGTAAATTTTTGTATGGGATGGGTGGGAGAGTAGGTGTCTTATAAACACAGCTGCGAAAGGAAAAGCTCACAATTTGAAGGGATGGCCAACAGAAAATATGAAGCAAGTCCTGCTGAGTTTTACATTTAAAACAAGAAAATGATAATTCAGATATCTTTCCTTTTAGGGTGCGGTCTTCTCGTTGAGTCTGTCTGCTGAAGGGCTTGTTATGGGTGCCGAAATCTCAGCTTATTCTACCATCCTGGTGCGATGGAGACTTTGGAGTCAAGGTGAGGGGGAGATACCCAAAATGGAAGCTGCAAGGCTGGGTCTCCTGGTAACAACTGGGTCTTGTGGTTTAGGGTGGAAAGAAAGAAATATGCCCCATCTCACTGTGGCTGAGTTAGGGAGCTGTGCTGTTGAGTTTGCACTGTGAACAAAAACCCTCTCCTTGCCAATGGCATTATTCATTTCCCCCCAGGCATGCAAAGGTAAGTGAGGGCATTCACCCATAGTAAGGCTCAAACTCCCATTGCCTGTTTCACATCCTTGTGGAGTGAGCCACTGGATGCTGCTGTCAATATCATTGATCCTGACCCCTCCCCTTTAGCTGCTAATCATGAGTGTTCCCCCGCGCTGGGTGAGAAACCCTTGTCTTGATCCCTTGTCCCAGGACAGCTGTGTTTACCTCTGCAGGCACCCGGCCCAGAGAACCATTCCTTCTTCCCCTTTGTGTGTTGAAATCTAAAACTGTATTTGTGAGGGAATTAAAACTCCTGCCTGCAGCAGCAGAAGAAGAAGAGTTTGGATTTGATATCCCGCTTTATCACTACCCTAAGGAGTCTCAAAGCGGTTAACATTCTCCTTTCCCTTCCTCCCTCACAACAAACACTCTGTGAGGTGAGTGGGGCTGAGAGACTTCAGAGAAGTGTGACTGGCCCAAGGTCACCCAGCAGCTGCATGTGGAGGAGTGGAGACGCGAACCCGGTTCACCAGATTACGAGACTACCGCTCTTAACCACTACACCATACTAGCTCCTGCAGGGATGCTTGAGTGACTGAAAATGCTGAGGTGTCATTTTGCATGTGTGTTGATGCAGGGATGTATCCATGTTGACCCAAGTTCATTGGCACTTTCCATGTGTGAGCTAACATTGTGGGTATTGTTGCCAGCAGAGTAGGTGATTGGTGCCTACTGGTAGGGTTTTAATAATAATAATAATAATAATAATAATAATAATTTATTTATACCCCGCCCTTCCTGGTTCAGAAACCCGGGCTCAGGGCAGCTAACAACAAATTTAAAACACTTAATTGATGCAACAAAAAATAGCATAAAATACAGTATAAAACGTGAATAACAATAAATTCAAAATTCAAAAATCAGTTTAGGGGGAAAATCCATCCAATAAACATTAGATGATCACCAGGGCTAGCTGGCTAAATTAGTCCTATTTGGGCCAGTGAGGAGACCAGGGGAGAATTAGCTGTGGGATCCCAGAGCAGGTAATCTTAATAAAAAGGGGAGAGGGAGGGAAGGAAGGGGAATAAAAGATCAGGCTAAGTTCAAATTGAAAGCCAGGTGGAATAGTTCTGTCTTACAGGCCCAGCAGAAGGAAGTTAAATCCTGCAGGGCCCTGGTCTCTTGGGAGAGAGTATTCCACCAGGTCGGAGCCATCACTTAGAAAGCCCTGGCCCTGGTGGAGGATAATCTGACTTCCTTAGGGCCCAGGACCTCAAGACATGCTAGGGGTGTATCTGTCATCTTCAATCCATAAATTTTGTACTTTCCTCCCATCATGGGCTGAGCACATATACAGAATATAGTAGGGAGGAGATGCCCATCTAGCTAGTGGATAGGATTCCTCTGCTGGTCTTTGCTGCTCTGATCTGGAGTGATATCAAAGACCAAAACAGATAGAAACTTTACATAGACTCCCGGCTTGTGATTTCACTTTTGTTTCCGGCATAGCCTGAGGTTGCTCATTAAGCCACAGCATTGATGGGACGCATCTACAGAAAGAGCTGTAATTTATATTTTTCTTTCCTTGTTCTCTTGTTCCCCGCAAGCTAGCTTAGAGGCCTGAGCAGCGGAGAAACAAAAAACGATTTACATGTTCTCCCTTGCACATGCATGCCTCTGCTGAAAACACACAGTCCACACAGAATGCTCTCTGCACTTGAACCACAATCCAATCATTAGTTCAGATTAAAAACGCAAACTGAAACAGGGGTACCTCGGGTTACAGACGGTTCAGGTTACAGACTCCGCTAACCCAGAAATAGTACCTCAGGTTAAGAACTTTGCTTCAGGATGAGAACAGAAATCGTGTGGCAGTGGCGAGAGGCCCCATTAGCTAAAGTGGTACCTCAGGTTAAGAACAGTTTCAGGTTAAGAACAGACCTCCAGAACGAATTAAGTTCTTAACCCGAGGTACCACTGTATATATATTTTGCAATGAAAAAATAACTAAGTGAACTCCCTAGCTTTTAAGAGTTCCTCTACTAGTGATAACAGGCTTGTGTCACCTTAAAGACTAACTAATTATTATAGCATAAGCTTTCGTGCGATGCCTCATTTCACTGCTCTTTTGGCTCTCTTGGGTATGGTAACAGGTGTTTTTTATAACTGGCAAATGTACAGAACGAACAAGGAAGCAGGAAATAGAAAGCAGTTGAATCCGGCTCCAACTAAGGGATTTTTTTTTTAAAAACTGGCATTTGGAAGACAATAATAAGCATGCAGTCTTCTTGTATGTGGAATGACTGAGGATAACACCCTGGCATGAGGCCCCCAGAATGTGGCCCTCAGCCTAGAAAAGGTCCCCCTCCTGTGGTCTACTGACTGGCAAGATCTTTACAGGATTTCAGACAAGTTTTTTCCCTTAGCCCTCCTTGAAGATGTTGGTGCTCAAAGCCGGAACCTTCCGCATTCAAAGTATGTGCTCTGCTACTGACGTACAGACCTTGCCCAATGCCTCAGCCTTCGTCAAACATAGGCTAACTACAAGACTGCGGTCCATGCTGTACACTGTTTGACTCCTCTGCAATGAAATGAAAGCCCTTATAGCAGGCAAGGCTACTTTACTGTGTTACAGAAAGCTGAGCTTTTCCCAAAAGATTATTCTAAGAGGTTTTCTAGATGTCTATCTGAAAGAGGATGAGATTGGCCAAGGATCTATAATCCCATTTATATGAAGCCCTGTAATCTTCCTGAAAGTCTAAAATGGCACTTGAATCTTTAATTACAGAGTGATTAGATGGACTACAGGAAACAGGCCCACCTGCATTGACAAAGTAACTGGCAGCATGAAGGGAATCAACAGACAAATTTCCTTGCTTGCTTTCAACTTACAAAATGTGGGTTTCCTAAATCAACATATTCTCTATCTCTTCTCACTAAGCAAACCCGGATGACTACTAACATCAGGGAGAAGACTAGGTCAGAAGACCAGGCTTGCCAAAGAAATCACTTGCATTTTCATAACTATACAGTACCTGAATTTCTCAGAAGACATTTTTCTGAGAAAACAGCTGAGATTTTTCTTTCTCAACCCCCCTCTGCAGAAAAAGGCCACCTTGTAGAATTTTCCCAACATTTCTTTTGTGGCAGCTGCCATTCCAACCCCACAACCCCAATCTCCCAGAATGATGCTAAGTCTCAGGCATTATGGAAGACACAAAAATAGTGCTCAGGCTGCCAGTGCATTTGCTGCTGTTGCCACTTGAAGAGGCAGGTCTCCCCGCTAAAGAAGAGAGAAAGAAGCTGCATTTCTGCTAATGGTGAGCCTTAACACTGAAAACAACCTGGGACCATTCCTCCTCCTTACCCTGGAGAAATGCAGTGAAATGGTCCTCCCAGTTTCTCCGACCACAAACAGGGTAGATAATTTCAAAAGGCCATTTCCGCACAGCAGTATCATAAGCTGGCTCTTTATTGAAAATTGGCTCTCTTTAATTAAGTTATCTGACTTCTGAGAGTCATCTTTTTAAATAATGATAGTCAAGAATATTTTGTGAATTCAGCAGTTAATACAATTTTCTTTGAGATATGAGGAAATTGATGGGAGATATTACGCCTCAGGAAATGGTGTAATTCAATTGAAGACTTTCTTCTTTCTGTGTCACCAATATACTAAATATTCTGGAAGATTGATCTCTTACGAGAGAGCTGGGGCATGCATTACACTGGCCATGGGCAGCTCATTCTGCTTTGCCACCTGAGGCAAAATGAGAATTTTCTGCCACCGGTGGAATGCCCCCCACTGGTCAAAACCCAGCAAGAGAGGGGCATTCCACAGGGTATGGAAGAAGGGCCGTAACACCATGAACCGAAACACCTCCCTCTCTCTGAAATTCAAGAGAAGGGAGGCATTCCACCAGTGGCAGAAGCAATGAGGCAGGCAGGGCTCTGTCTCTTGAACTTCCACTGCCTGAGTCGGCCGCCTCGCCTTGCCTCATGGGTGTACCAGTTCTGGCTGTGGAAGAACCAGAGATAAACATCTGCAATCTGTTTCATACAATCAGACTTATCACTCAATATTGGCTATTCCAAGCATGAAACTGTCCTAGAGACTGCCCTATAAAAAAACCATGTGTCTCAATGGGCCAATCTTCTACATCCATTTGCTAGGCTTCTTGGTTCCCCAAAGAAGGAACTGTCTGCCTCTGGATAAAGACAATGGGAAGAGCTGGGAAGTGTGTGCCTCAAACAGCTGTTTGCAAAACTCAGGAAAATCTCAAAAATCAGCAAAATTGCTGTGCAATCAACACTGCAGCTATGACTGGACTGCTTCATAGCTGATTGTGTTTCCATGGGATATTTGATGGGATCCATCCCTTATGCCAAGGGTTGCTTTTTTGGGACCATTTTGAATTCTGAGAGTGCTGTGGGCACAAATCACAAAATGGCTGCCATGGGGGTGAGGGCTTCCATTGAGGGCATGGGAGAAAGTCACGGTGAAGCTTTTGCCATGACTATATTTCCATAGTAGGAAAGGCTTAACCTGTTGAATTCCTGCTTGCCATGCAACTGCTTAAGGCACACAAGACGTGTCCCCCCTGTCCCAATACCAACTCTAAACCAAAGCTTAGGCTGCCATTCTGTACCCACTTTCCTGGGAGTAAGCCCCGTTTAACACGAAGGGTTACTTCTGGGTAGACATATATAACATTGTACTGAGTACAGTGTAAATTCTGAGCGCGTGCCCGGTCTTTACCTCCTGCACACCCAGAGTCCTGCTTGGGCCCCTTTGCAAAGGGCAGAGAGAGCGCAGGGCGGGCATGATGCGGGGGGAGGTCCCCAGCTCAACCCCACAGCAGACAATGCAGACAAACGGTCTAACTCAGTCTAAGCAAGGGAGCTTCCTACGCTCTCGGCGAGGGGAAATGTCAACTCGGCTACGAAGCGCGCTGGAAGCTGGCATCTTCCCCGGAGGGAGAGCAGCCGCTAGCCTTGGTCAGCCCGCACCGTCGACGCTGCCATGACGATCTCTCCCGCCTGTTGCTGCCCAGAAGCGGCTGCTCGTCCCTTACCCTACTTACGGTAACGCGCGTCCCGAAGCGGAGCGCTGCCGCGCGACTCGCTCTGAGCGACCGGCCCCAAGCTCCTCCCTCGAGCTCCCATTGGGCAGGGGCGGCAGTGGGCGCGGCTTCGGGAGGCTCCTGCCTTGCCTCGGCCGGGCGTTCAATATTCATGAGGGAGGAAGGGGGCGTGTCCAGGGAGGCCGGGCCGAGGCGTCTGAGCCTGGGGATGGTGCGCGGAGTGTGACTGTGACAGCTGGGCAGGGATCCCGGAGGAGGCGAAGGCGCCCCTCCTTCCGTCCCCACAGGAGGCTGCCTCAGCCCTTGCACGATCCTTCCCTCCCTCCGCGCGCACCCCGCTCCCTCTCTCAGCCCGGATCCTGCACATCTTCCTCTCCTCTCCCTCCCACCCCCTCCCAGAGTGGCCCCCATCAGCCCCACCCCTCTGAGCCCCATTGTCTTTCCCCTCCCCACTCGCTCGCCCCCCCCGGGAAAAAGGAGCCCCCCCCCGTCCCCTGCTTCCCTCTTTCCCTCCCCATGGATTACAGGCTCCCCTCGAGGGAAGACGTAGGCATGGCCCTTCTCTGCCCAGCGCCTTGGGATCTGCAGCTCAGGGTTGCTGCTCTGGAGTGAACCGCCGGGCGATCCTTAAGGGAAGGTCCCGCAGCGCTGGAGGGGAAGGAAGCGGCTTCCTTGCTCCCCACACCCGACGGCTCCTCCGGCTCGGCTCGCCTCCGCTACCATGGACAGTATCCTAGAGCCCTTCCCTTCGGAGCGCCTCTTCCCCGGAGGAGCCTCCAGCTTCTTGGATCTGGGCGATTTAAACGAAGCGGATTTTCTCAGCAATGTGGTAAGAGCCGAGCGGCGGCTGGACGGCGTTTGAGGTTGCTGGGTGCGGGCCAGAGAGAGAGAGAGACGGGGGGGTTGGTGGTTGTAGGTTTGTAAAGCGGCTTTCCTTGCCCGAAGGTCTGAGGGCCTCCTGGTGGTCTCTTCTGGACCCTGGGGGGAAGGGAAGGGTTCGTAGGTGAGCAGGAGGAGGTAGGCTGGGGGCAAGTCGGAAGGAGCCTTAGCTGTGTCCCGGGATGCCCCTGGCTTGCCTGCAGCCGGCTGCCCCTTGTTGTGAACTACTACCGCGATTTTAATATGCCAGTCCGGATATGATCAGCAACACGTGTCACATGCACATTCACACGAGCGTTTCGTCCCCTGTAAATGTAAGCAGCCGTTCCACCCTTGTTCCTTGCCGGCACGGTTCAGAAAGCGCCCGTTGATTCGCGAATGCGTGATGCACATCACTTGGTTTCGCAACGCTTGGTGACTATGCAGTGTCTGGCATAAGATGAAAACGTTACCTTTGGTCTTTGATTTGTGATGTCTGTTTCATGGACTTGATGCAACAGCGAGGGACCCCTGGCCCTCCAGGTGTCGTTGGATCCCCACTCCCATCATCCCTGACCATTGGCTGTGTGGCTGATGGGAGATGGAGTCCAACCACATCTGAAGGGACAGGAGTGGTCTTCAGGAGATAATCTTGCATGGGTGAAGCAGCCCCAGGACTGCTTCAAAACATGCCAGCTGGGAGGCGAACATGGATGGAACTTGTGATCTGAGTGCAAAATTTTACCTCACCATGCAACAAATGGTTGTTGCGAATCTATTGTTAGATGACCTATCTATGGTAATGGAACGTCTTAGAGCTGATTCACATTTTTAAAAAAATTCTATTGTAGGACTAGTATGTTCATTTACTTAACAGTGGGGTTCCATGTAATCTTAAAGTTGTGAATAGGTGAATATATTCAGTAAAGTGTCCCAAAAACCTTAAATCAGGTCAAAAATCAGGCCAGAACCTTAGCACCACAGGCTAATGTCTGTGGTGTTGAGGCAAATTTTACCTCTGAGGGGCCACAGTGTATTCAGGAAATCTGTGATGAGAATTCTCTCTAGCAGTGAGCATGGGAGAGAGCTCCAATTTAGATCAGAGCAGAAGCATTGGTGGTAGTGGGGTTTAAAGCCTCCCCTCTGTGCTGTTTACCCTGTCTAAATCCAAAGTCCCACCTGAGCTGCTATTAGACTTCCTGAGGAATCTGTGGTGGATTTCCTGCTTCTGTCTATGCTTATGTATGCACTGGTAATCCAAATCGGCATGTTACTATAACAACAGTGAAGGGTAAATGTGGCGGGGGGGGGGGTATTGGTTTGTTTTTGGTTCATTATGTATTTTGTGTTCTCATTTTGTATCTTTTTGCTGTGACCACCTTGTGATTTTTGGATGAAGGGCGGTAATAAATAAAAATAAATTTTAATTATTACAGGTTAATCACTCTAAAATAAAGGAATATGACTCTAGAATAAAGGAATATGATCTTCTGAAAGCTTCATCTTGTCTAAGCCTATCTTAACTGTAGTCTGAAGAGTTTATCCAGAAGTATGGGGGGCGGGGTCTTATATATTTGGTGGGTGGGAAACCCACAAAAAAATCTCACACATGAATACAGAAACCCTTATGGGGCCTCAGCAAAGCGTCTGATATTGAATATATACAACACAAGGCCTTTGAACCTTTGGGTGAAACTTCTCTCCTCGACTGGAAACTGAAATAGCATCCTGTTGTAGACTGGGGCATGCAGTTTCCCACATGTTATATACCACCTTTCCGTAATGTCAAATTTTATTTTAGGAATCTTTTTCACTCTCTGAAGCTTTGTTCCTGCCCTGGGTGTCTTATATCCTAAGATCACCAGTGCTGAAGCAATGATTGTTCAACATCAACTTTGTTAGACTGGTCATGTTGTGCAGATGCCTGATGATCGTCTTCCAAAGCAACTACCCTATTCCAAACTTAAAAATGGAAAGCGTAAAGTGGTCAACAAAAGAGGTTTAAAGACTGTCTCAAGGCAAATCTTAAAAAAGTAGTATAAACACTGACAACTGGGAAACACTGGCCTGCGAGCGCTCCAGTTGGAGAACAGCCTTTACCAAAGGTATTATGGGCTTTGAAGACACTCAAACTCAGGGCGCAAGGGAGAAACGTGCTAAGAGGAAGGCACGCCTGGCAAATCCACACCGTGATCAACTCCCACCTGGAAACCAATGTCCCCACTGTGGAAGGACGTGTGGATCCAGAATTGGCCTCCACAGTCACTTACGGACTCATTGCTAAAACCATGTTTATAGAAGACTCGGTTACGAGCGATCGCCAAAGAAGATATCCTATTCCATAAGCAAGAGATTCAGGGAGGGGCTGTCCCTCAATGGCGGAGCACATGACCTGCATGCAAAAAGTTCCCAGGTTCTGTCCTTGGCATCTCCAGTTACCAAAAAGGACATGGTAGTAGATAATGTGAGAATTGCTGCCAGTCAGGGGGAGCAATACTGGGCTGGGTGAACAAATAGTTTGACCTGATGTAAGGCCACTTTCCATGTCCTTGTGCGGTGAGAGATGCCACAATTTTGTTTTCCACTATTGATAACCTACATTGCCCTGGTGTGTAGGGCAATGGTATCTAGCATATGGTATCTAGCTTAATAGCAACTTGAAGCAAATGGTTTCTCCCCTCTTGCCCAGTGGGGTTGTACTGACAAAGCATGTATCAATGACTACTATAGTAGATAATTGTATTAAAGGTAAAGGTAAAGGTACCCCTGCCTGTTCGGGCCAGTCTTGCCAGACTTTAGGGTTGTGCGCTCATCTCACTCTATAGGCCGGGAGCCAGCGCTGTCTGCAGACACTTCCGGGTCACGTGGCCAGTGTGACAAGCTGCATCTGGCAAGCCAGCGCAGCACACGGAAACGCCGTTTACCTTCCCGCTGGTAAGCGGTCCCTATTTATCTACTTGCACCCGGAGGTGCTTTTGAACTGCTAGGTTGGCATGTGCTGGGACCGAACGACAGGAGCGCATCCCGCCACGGGGATTCGAACCGCCAACCTTGCGATCAGCAAGTCCTAGGCGCTGAGGTTTTACCCACAGCGACACCCGTGTCCCGCGATAATTGTATTAGATCTACTTATGTTTGCTGCCTTACCAAAATTGCACAAAATTGCTAATTTTCTTTAGCTTTCTGTGTTTTATCTGTGTTTGTTTTAATTTTTTGGAAGCCACATTGAGTCCTGGTTTTGGGGAAAGGTAGGGTATAAATAAATAAATAAATAAATAAATAATAATTTTCTCCCTCTCTGGTATAACTAGCCCATAAAATATAGTTATTTGTCTGTTTCCATCAAATGTTACACTCATAAATTAGATAAGCCCTTCATAGTGGGCACATATTACTGATCTGTTGCACAGGAGCATTTGTAAGAATGCTTTTCAGATTATACACTTCGTTTACATATTCACACATTTCCTTCTTTATTCTCAAAGGTGTTGAAAGGATATAGCAGTAATTAAAATAAATGAGGTTGTATTCAAGATTAGCAGTCCATGTTAATAAAAATAGTATTAGAATATATATTTTAAAATTATGAATTGAAAGTGTGTGTATTTTACTCAGTGGGAAAATAGTAGTTTTGGGAAAGTGGCATCTGGTGGGGACAAGGAATTAACTCCCTCATGTAGTGACAATATAAACCAGGCCCCCAAAATTTGCATTTACTGTTTTGAAAAACACACAAAATCCAATTCTGGATCTTCCATTGCTTTGACCAGCTCGTCCCGCAATCTGGAGCCTATGGGTTGCCCTTTATGAATGCAAGAAAAGTTGTGAGAGAAAAATTTGGTTTGTCAGCAATGTTGCAAATATTTCTTAACATTTTTGCTGGCTATGTATACCATGTTGTTTTTCTGGTTGATTTAAATTACAGTTCCTTTTTGGATGGTGACTGCAAAACTGGCCTGATGAAAATGTATGATTATTTCTTTCTCATGATCAGTGAGTCAGTTTCTAATTATCAATATTTATATGCAGTTGGGTTCCCAACACATACCGTATTTTTAACTCTTGCCATCCAGTGTGTGTGTGTTGCACGCACTGTATGCATATACACATGCACAAATAGGCA